AGTAAATTACTTACCTTTATATATCGTTTATGTGTATCTCGGCTTGTTTTTAAAATATTCAGTAGCTGTTTCTATATTTATCTGTGAACTCACATTAATTCTTAATTTTTCATTATGCTTTACTCTCCTGCTTTGGAGGAAGATAATTTGCTTTGTTTCAACTTGAACATCAATATCGGTATGATGTCTGGCATTTTTAGTGGACCGTGGTTAAAGCAGCAGGGCCTAGAAGAGTGTGGAGGAAATGTTGGCAGGTTAATTACATTATTGAAGTTTAAACCTGAGCTAGGCTGTAGTAGCTTTAGAAGCTGATGTGTTTGGAAGTGAAATACTATCATGGAAATGGCTGTAGAAAAGAAGCAAATACTGAGAAGTAATTGATTTTTCTTTTGATGTGCCTCAGTTCTGATTTTTTTTTTTAATGGTGAAATTGGGCTGTGTTTTCTCAGCCTTATTAAACCCAGGCTTAATGCTCCTGAATGTTGCCATCATGTGTGAGAACGGCACGGCAAACATCTTTCTTTTTAGACTGAATTAACATCTTAGGCCATGAAATGTGAGTTAGTCAGGTTTTACTGGGAGAAACAATATCTCCTATAATGCCAGTTTATATACCTGAAGAAAGGTCTGCTTCGGGACTTCTGACTTAAGTTTAGTTATACATACCGATGTTACTGATATGTACAATCTTTTACTGTGGTTATCTTCTGGAAATGTTGGTAGCACAGTTTCTTATTACAAAGATCTCTTCTGAGCCCTAGTTTGGTAGGGGAGGTGCAAACTGTTTCACAAAACGTGACTGGAGACTGAATGTTTCTTCATCTTTGAACTAACTTAAGAGTCTTGAGATTTTTCTTTACTTAACAGAGGTTATCGTGAGGGCAGCTTGGCTAGTGCAGTGTCCCAGTGTTCATCTGTATTTACTTCCATAACTCTTGTCAGCGTCAATAAGACCATTGGTTTGCTGCTAGTACTTTCTCAAGTGCTGCCTCATTGGGGTTTTCTTGTGTATTAACAACTTCTTGGGATCTGTCAAAAGATGTAAAATCACACCTGGTGCTGAAGGTCACTTATAAGGAGTTTGAGCTGAGGGTTATTCTCATGGAACTGTGCTTTTTTCAGAGACTTAATTATCATCATTAGTTATGCCTTAGTGTTTAGTGGGATGGTACTGTGCCATTGCAAACTATTTTCCTAGCTCTCAAGGAAAAGATAACCCCAACCTGTTGAGGAATTTATCAGTCACCGTAATATTTGCCAAGACTGAGCACTAAACACGGTTTTGTTTAAAAAGGTTTCTAAAGGCTGAAATTACCTTAACACATGATTTTCCCCAAAGCTGCAACCATAGTCTATATCCAGTGACTATGTAGGACACGGGTAGAAGTGTTCCTTATTTTGTTTAGTGATGACACAAGCTCCGTGTGAGGAGCTCCTGCAGTGAAGTTGCCATGTTTTGATTGCCAAACTCTGTGGTCTCAACAGAACATTTCCCAGACATAGTATAATATTATGCATCATGTTTCCTTGCTTCAGGGTCCTTATGTGCTACAGCCCATATGTGCTGTAATAACAATGCTTTTTATAGATTGGTCCTTTTTAATTTTCAGTCCCTCAATCTGCAACATTTTACCTCCTGTATCTAGCTAGTGATAATTTCAGAGTAGAGTGATGTGGCTCCTGAGTTTTTTGTTGTCTCGTCTTTAATCATGGTGGAAGAAATTTAAACAGTGAGCTGTGAGTGTCAAAATGCACATGGGGAAGTGGTTTTGAAGGATAAATGTTTGTTTGGGGAAAAAACTTCACAGTTTTACTTGGTCAAATAGATGTAAAATAATTAGACAAATGTTCATTGCTTGCAGTAAATACTTTGATATCTTTTGTAATCTTGGAAGAGAAGTTGGCTCTCATCTTTCACTAGATGCCTCATTTTTTAACATGGTATTAAAATTTATCAAAAAAGTGTAAAAGCTTCCTGGAGAGAGGGCGGTGAGGCACTGGAACAGGTTGCCCAGAGCAGCTGTGGATGCCCCATCCCTGGAAGTGTTCAAGGCCAGGCTGGATGAGGCTTTGAGCAACCTGGTCTAGTGGAAGGTGTCCCTGCCCATGGCAGGGGGGTTGGAACTGGATGGTCTTTAAGGTCCCTTCCAACCCAAACCATTCTGTGATTCTATGTTGATACCTTCACGCATGTATATGTGTACTCTTTGCAACAGGTTCTTAGTCCTGAAGAGAGGAGAAAACCAAATTAAAAAAAAATGCTTGATTATGCCCCAACTAGCCTATATATTGAGCTGCTGAAACAGCATATGTATGCTGTTTGATTCTCAACTTTCTTCCTGTTTACTTGTGGTTTTGATCCCAAACATGGCCATTATTCAAGCTGCTCTATTGGAAAATGTTGTTCCCATAGACAGGGAATCAGTTTACCTCTAAAGCTGACTTTTTAAGGCTTCAGTAACTACTTCTACAACAGGAGGATCTTTTTTTATAAATTCATAGCAAATAAAAAATAGTCGAACTATTAAAATGTTCTCATATGCAACACTTACTATTTATTCTATAATTTCACAATATTTATTTTGTATTTATGTTTTGTTGATAAAACTCATATACTTCTTGCCAATTCCTAAGGAATTCTTGGATGCTGCTGTCTTCTGAGAGCTATATCATATGTTGCTAACCTTATTTGATTTGCTTATGCGTTTTTCATAATGGCGAAAATAAAAACAACAACGCAATCTTGTTCATGTTGTGCACAGCTTTAGTAAGAGTGTCATACTTAATCATGTTTACAAGTAAATTGTATACAGGTGTTCAGAAACTCAAACTTTAGTCATTCCATTGAAATAATTTATTTGGATCCATTTTTGGTAGTGAAGTAAAATTTTCAGTATGGATGTGCTTTTCTGTTCTGAATGGACTTCAGCATGAAAGGTTGATTAGCTAGAGATGCCTACCTGCTTGCCTCCCCAGAACTGCTTACTCTCCGTGTAGGTGGATTTCTGAAAGCTCAGAAATTTATTTTTGAGCTTCCATGAAACTATGATGTAAGTGCAGCTTCATATGTAAGGATGTGAACATTTCTTGTGCTCATCCGTTCTGCAGCTTTAGGTGTGTTGGGTGTTGATAATGCAGCGGGTGTGACCTTGAAACGTATGGGAGAAGTTATGTGCTGCAGAGTAGGGTGGTGGTAGGACTGGCTGCTGGATGGGTCCTGCACGCCTCACGAGTCAAAGTGGATTATGAAATAGCCACGTGCCCTCTGTAGCAAGAGTTGGTGCTGAAAGGGTCAGCTGCAGCCAGGATAACTTGTGTAGTTGATTTCTGCAGCTTGCTGTAACACAGCTGTTGGTAGAGAACCGACCAGGTACTGACGAGCAGAGGTATTTACTGGCAGCTGTTCTTGTTGGCCTGCCAACAAAGGGGAAAATATCTAACCTATTTTTGAAAAAATGTGGCAAGTTATGTTGATCTTACTCTTATATGTATATCCAGAATTGAGCACCGTATCTAAAACAGGAAAGTTTTTCTGTTCTAACTTGCTTTTTTTATTGTCCGTGTTTTTCTTGTTCATGTCCTTGCTTTCATATATTTATGTTAAATCAGAAAGTGGAAAGGGACAGGGAGAATATTCACAGAATCACTGAGGTTGGAAAAGACCTATAAGATCACCTAGTCCAACCATCCACCTAACACTACTGTACCCACTAGACCACGTACTCAAGCGTCATGTCTACATGCTCCTTGAACACCTCCAGGGTTGGTGACTCCACCACTTCCCTGGGCAGCCTGTTCCAGTGCCTGACCGCTCTCTCAGTAAAAAAGTTTTTCCTAATATCTAATCTAAACCTCTCCTGACATAACTTGATGGCAACCTTTAAAAAAAAATAATCCCTTGTATTTATAATATGGCTTTAGTTTTGGAAATTTGTTCTGTAATAAATATTTTTTCTCCATGGTTTTCAGGTGCTTGTCCTATTTTAAAACTGTGCTTGCTGAATTAAATTGGAAACAGCGTAAATACTGTACTACAGCAATATATGTACCTGTAGCATAAGTGTTACCTCTTCTTAAATCCTGAAAGTCACTCTTTGTATGCAATTTTTTTTCTTCTGGAGTGCTATATATATATTTTATCCTTATTCTGGTAGTGGTATTTATACATGGATCTACAACCTGTCATCCCACTGCTGAAGTGTATATCGGTGGTACCGCTGAGATCCTGAAATTACTATTTTAATTTTGTTTTAAATGCCTTCTGTGTGACATTACTGGAGCCTTGTGGTCTGTGTTATTACACTAGTCCTGCAGCTTGGAACGTGTCCCTTATAATCCCAAGATTTTGGCTGCATACATTTTTTTGATCTTGCTGTTGATTTTACCCTTTGGAATATCACTGCAAACACAACAGGTGAAACATCTTAAAGCTATTCCACATGATGTAGTACGCTATGTACTCTGGGCTTGAAACAAAGCAGCCATAAAATCATAAACCTTGTAAGAACTTTGTATTTCCAAGAACTTTGTTATGGGGCATATACATTTTTCCGAAATCTGGGTAGATAAATTCATAGGAACGGGGAGAAGTGGGAATCTCTTAATAGAACCAGTTAAGATTTGTCTGCTGGGTCAAAATTGTAGTGATTGATCGTAGAGAAGAGTGAAACAGTTTTTAATTTTCTGTAGCTCTTAAATTTTTTTGACCTGCACTGGATGTGTTTTGATGGCAGTGTTTTCTCTTAAAAAATACATGCAACTTAATGATAAAAAAAACCCTTCTGTAAAAAAGGTATATTCAGGTCTTAGTAAAAATGATAAAGCTCTTGGCTTATTTCTGTTACATCTTGCAGAATGATGCAGCGTTAGTTTGTAACTTGATAAGAAAACCCCAAGATTTATTTACAGATGTATAAGTTAAAAATCAAGAAAAGCAATATTGATCTTTACGATAGGAAATATGTGCAAATATAGTAACTGCATTTTGTTTTCTTTACAGACACCATAGCCCATTAATGAGCTTTGGAGCCAGTTTTGTCAGTTTTTTGGTGAGTAGATGGGGGCAGAGAGTATACATCTATTCTCTTGTAGTTATGTTTGTATGTGCGTGTGTGTGTTCATAGCAGTGGGTACTCCAATTTGTTTATTTTATGAGACTTAATTTTTTCCAGGTTTTAGATTAACTGTAGCAAGAAAACAAAGTCATTATGTTATATAAAACATGTTTACTCATGTGGTTTAAATAGAAAGTAAAGGTTCAGCTTGTCAAATGTATGAAATATTTATGTGTTCCATTAAAAGAGCCATAAAAACCCCATCTCTTCAACGAGCAGTAGAGGTATTATTAAAATAATACTCATAATTGCCATTTTCCTTATAGCACTTGCTACTGAAAATTTCTCCATCTGTACTGCCAGGTGAAGTAGGGCTGGAGCACGTCTCCTGTGGGGACAGGCTGAGAGAGTTGGGCTTGTTCAGCCTGGAGAAGAGAAGGCCCTGGGGAGACCTTATAGCACCTTCCAGTACCTGAAGGGGCTACAAGGAAGCTGGGGGGGACTTTTTACAAGGGCCTGTAGTGACAGGACAAGGGGTAACGGGTTTAAATTGAAAGCGGGGAGGGTTAGATTGGATATCAGAAGAAATTCTTCCTGGAGAGAGAGGTGAGGCACTGGAACAGGTTGCCCAGAGAAGCTGTGAATGCCCCATCCCTGGAAGTGTTCAAGGCCAGGCTGGATGAGGCTTTGAGCAACCTGGTCTAGTGGAAGATGTCCCTGCCCATGGCAGGGGGGTTGGAACTGGATGGGCTTTAAGGTCCTTTCCAACCCAAACTATTCTACGATTTATGAATTCAATTCATTCACGTTGCTTCCTTTTTGAATATATGAGAACTTGGAATGCTGACTGGCTGAAGAGTCTTAATGAGCATGTTAGGTCTGTTAAATGCTTTTCTTTTTTTTAATGTATTAAAAATGAGAATAACTTGCATAAAAGATGAGCAGGTGTATTAGAAAATGTTTAAATCTTGGTTTTTTGACTGTCCTCATTCTGACTTTGCTGCATAATCTTAGATTGCACCAGAAATTCTGTGGTAATACTCTTTTTAAAGACAAAATTTATTATAATATGCCAGAAATAGATAAGTTGTAAATGAAACTAATTTGAATTTTCTCTGGTGTCTGTAGGCTGTGCAGTATGGAAAAATATATTTGTTAGGAACCTCCTGGGGCATATGCTTGCTTTTAAGTCAGTGGAGAGGAGAAAGAAAGAGGGAGAATCTCTCAGGCTCACTTGTCTGAATTGATGCACTGAACCAGTGTAACATCAGAGTGCAGCATCAGTGGATCTTGAAAGTATCTTGCTTAGCTACTGTTCTAAACATAGCAGCAGCACTTTGTGTGCCTGTGTCATTCAGGGCTTTCCTTTAATAAAGCATCAAGGAAAGAAGTTACTTGTCCTGCAATTCTTTCT